TTCCTTGAATGTCAATGCGGCGTCCGTGATCAGGTACATCTCGGAGTCGCAACTTCTTGGCAAAGGCGTCAGTGAGCACACTAACGTTCGCTCCTGTGTCGAGGACGATCCTCGTTCGCTGGTCGTTCACAGCGCCTTGCACCAGAGCTCTCATTCTGATCCGTCGGTCGAATTTCTTGGCCGACCACCACCCCTGTCTCTCGCCAGGGCTCAACTTCATCATCTTGGAGTGACCCTTGGGATCGTCTCGCGCTGCACTCGAAACCAAGCCGAACGAACCCTCGCTGGTGCCCTCATCAGCATCGGCACACTCCACTCTCTCTCTCCAACACCTCCACCGAGGATTCTACTCCTCTCCTTTTCATTTTCCGTCGTGTTCACACTTGTTACGTAATTATCAGGCCATTCACTCTGCCCCATGAAAGCAAAGATACACTCTGCTTCCCATTGAAGGCTCGGTTAACTGTGGCAGCCCGATAGGGACCAACCCAGTTGTAGTTGGCGGGCTGCCAAGTTTAAATGACGTTCTTGAACGACGGCCTTGAGCTCTGGCGGGAGTTCCTCCTTCGTGCCTTTAGTGCGCACGAATTTGGCAAGGTCGTGGAAGTTGCGGAAAAGTTCGCATTGTCCAGCATCGTGGAGTTGTTTGCAGAACTTGCATCGCTTGTTACAGTAGTGGGCGGAGTGACTCATGCCACCGCACACCGCGCATGGTCCGTACTGTGGGCGTCGGTTGTCGTGGTTGAAGTCACGTCGACCGCGTTGGTCCTGATTGAACCCACGGTCACCACCTCGGCGATCTTGATTGAAGCCATTATCGCGATCAGGCATGTTTCCACGTGGTTGGCGGTTGTCTGAACGTGCGTAGGTGCCTTCAGCAGCTGCACGGCGCTCATTTTCGTTAGCAGCGGCGAGGTATCGGTCGTTTTCGTCCAATGAGAAATCACCGTCCGTATTATCAGGCTGAAAATCGTTGTACTCATCTTGGACATCGTCGTAAGCGTTCGGATCTTCGTTTGAATACTCGGTGCCTCCCTGAGCAGCTTCACGACCTTCTAATTCAGCTAGTAGGTCGTCCACCGTAGCTTCAATGAGTGTCACTCTTGGTTTGTTGCGGCTGTCATCGCGGCGACGGTCATCACGCCGGTTGTTGCGGGCGTACCCATCGTCGCGTCGCGTATCACGACTCTTGGAGTATCGGTACTCACTGTCACGCTTGGCCATTCTCTCCTTGCCCTTGAGAACATCTTCGATGATCTCTTCGAGCTCGTGAATGTCGGCGACTCGAGCGTGGCAGAGACTCTCCGCTAGCTTGTCATCGTCGCATGTTGCCAGGAATTGCTGTACGTGTTCTTTCGCGTCGCGACCACTCTTCTCAAAGTGTAGACGGGCGGTCCGAGCGTAGCCATTCAGCCTGTTTATGTAGTCGCACAGATGTTCATTACGTTCCCGCTTGGCGGAGTAGTAACGCGACAGTGCCGTCTGCGTGAACTGCGAGCAGTAGTAGCAGATGAACGCATCGCTCAACAGCTTCCACTTGCGCTTCGTCTTCTTCAGAAGTTGACGGAACCAATGAATGGCTCCGTCCCGGAGACTTAGCTCAAATGAAATGCACCATTTATCGGCATCTGTGTGGGTTCCAGTCATTTCATAGACGAACCCACGGAGCCACTGCATACAGTTCTCGCTCTTGTTGCGAGAGCCTGAGAACGGCGTGATGCGATCCAGCGGTCGGTGCGAAGCCATTTCAATCATCGGTGTCGGGTCTACGTCGTTCAGCGTCGCTAGCTCATTCATCTGACGCATCAACTCGAGTTGAGGATCTTCCTCGTCGAATGTACGCACCAAAATGTCATCGTCACTGGACGAACCATCGCTGTCGACTTGACGACGTCCGGCACCACCTTTGGGGGCTCGCGCACCGCCTCGGCGACCGAACGAACTCTCGTTACTTGCGTAAATGCGTTGCATACGGCTCTCCGAATGTGGTGTAACCATGTGCGAGTCTTGAAAGTATGGTGAAGCTTCGGTAGTGCCAAAGGCACCACGCTCAGCTCCACGCTTGGTCGGAGGAGTACGAACGAGTCGTTGGGGCGTCGGCGGCAGTGGAATCTTGGACGGATCTTCATCTTGAATCATCGGTCGACTCAAAGTGTAACGGGGTACATGGTGTGGAGCACACAGGGGTACGAAGTACCCGGAGAGTTAACAAACTCTCAGTACATAAGTTGGAGAGTTAACAAGGTATCTCAGTACGTTGGCTGAAAGCCACACGTTATGCATTTGATTAGGTTTAACTATGCTAGATAGTTAAAGAGATACATTTACCCCTAGGCGGCTTGGCCGCAATAATAGTCAATAAAACACTTCTGGTTTTGAAGCATAAAAGTTAAGGTGTTAACTTTGAGCCCTGGTCTTGGGCTGTAAGTGTCCTTTGGATAAGGAACTTAGTATTAGTGACTCTTTGAGTCGAACGTCTTCCTCTGACGCTAAAGCTACGGCAGCCCCGCTGCACTTGGTAGTACTTGTAGTCAATCCCGCTCCTGAGTCGGTTGA